GAATCTGTGATTTCTGAGGCGTTTCCTGAAACTGATCCAGCGTCAGTGACGGTGGGCCGGCGTGTTTCTCTCCGAGGCTGTTTCTGCTGATCCTGAGTCAGTCATGTCTGTGCTCAAACGCAACAGACACAGCAAACGCTCGTCGGACTCAATCTATGACCTGCTGCACCTGGTGAGAAGCGTTTTATGACTGGCGTTTTCCTTAAATCACTGTCTTTTATTGATCAGGATAGGGCTTTGGGTTTCTGCGCTGGTTTTTGTTGGTGTTTTGTGGATTGTTGCTGTCAGAACATCAGACGTTTGGGGTTTCTAGTAAAAAGTGACAATTATTAATATATTGTTCATGCACATTTTACTATGGTAATACCATGTTGTTGTTGTTTTTTTGCATGATGATGAATTTAAATGTCATGCATATTGTCATAGGTCAAAGTACCATCATGTTAACATCTAATATTATTATTTTAGGTTTTACTTGTTAGTCTTTGATTACTTTTATAGACCAATCGGAATGTAATTATGAGCAATTTTGTGCTTTTTGCATGCTGGAAAAAGTTTAAACCAGCTTAAGTGTTCTTGACATGATACCAGACTGGTTTATAGCTAGATTTTTATTTGGTTTTAGGGGGATTTTGGACACTTTTGAACAGTTGCAAACCAGTTTATCCATGCTCAGAGACCAGCAAACACCACCTTCGGCTGGTTTAAATTGTTATTTTAAGCAGGATCTTGTTAGGATTTCATGGAGGAAAGTTCACTGGAAGTGTGGATTTCCCTTTGTGTAGGTGCACAATGCATGTGTTTGTTTCTTCAGAGCATGCAACTTTTATACTCGTATTAAGATCAATAAAAAGATTCCACTCTAAAACTAAGTTCATATAAAGTCAGGAATGTGTTTGGAAAACATTTACTAATATTGGAATATGAACACCCTTATCTGTGAAGTTATGCTGCAAGATTTCATACTTGGTCACATTTACCTTTTTTGCAAATTTTCTTCAAAATTTCAATAGGAATCCATGCAATTTGGAATTTTGCATGAGGGCGGAAGATTTACCACACACATTTTGCAATTGTTTCAAGTTGTTCATGCAAATTGGCAACGTTGACTTACAGAAAGATGCTTGGTTTGAAAGTGACTCTTTTTGAGAACACCGACAATAGACAATGTACTTTTTCTGCCTGCAAAATTTCACTAATGTGATGCATCTTTAGGGTCAGGAGGTTGTGAGCTCTACACCTTAGCAAACACCACTAACAAGCGTGCATTTTCCCAGCAGTTAATGTGTTTTATAGTGTTGTGCGCTGGACGTGCGGGGTGTCGTATTTTCTCTCTGCTGTTACGCTGTTCTGAGACTCAAGGACTCTGGGAGAAACACTGTAATTCATCCTTTGTGTGTCCTTGCGTGGGCATTCGAGGACCGCTAAGACTCTCTCTGCTAATGAACAAGGAAAGCGGCGTTCACATGTTAAAAAAAAAACAGTGTCAGCCAAAATAAGCACCTGTAGTCTACTAAGTAAATAAAAGTAGTTTAAAGTCATTGACTACGTTTACATGGACATCGGTAATGTAATTATTTACCTTATTCTAAATAAGCCAATATTATGATTATGGTGTTTACATGAGTGGCTTTTAGAATATTTTTTTCATGTTCCCGTTTTACATGTACATAGTTCGATTAATGGCACACGTCATTACGTCCCCACATGACGCCATCCGACGTCCCCTCCGTAATTTCACGCATAAACATATACAGTAGTTCGTCTTCGTGATGATGCCATGTACAGTTTTGGGTGTTTAATTTTTAATTTTATGAAAGCTTCTAGTGGAGTTAATTATTTGTACATGCATACAGACGACGACGGGTGTTGAAGCTCTTTTATTTGCCTACACGACGGTAATAATGTGATTAAGGTGTTTACATGTCTATACTGCACTTCAGTAATGCGACTAAAATAGGAATACTCCACATGTCTTAATTAGATTTTTGTTTATTTCGATTATGACTTTAGCCGGATTAAGGTAATCAAACATCTCTGTTTACATGGTAGATTCTTAATCAGGAACTATTCGAGCCGTTCATGCCAGACTGGGGAGAGAGGTGTTGTAATAATGTAAAATATGTGAAAAATAATGTTTTTCGAACAACCTAGTATGAGAGCCTGTTCTAGTACACCCCCAAAACAAAATCAAGACTTTGTAAAAGAGCATAATAGGACCACTTTAATACTATGTTTTTTGCATGGTAGTACCATGAAATACCTTAGAGTACCATGTAAATATAATGCATATCATCATATATCAAAGTACCATGGTGTTACCATCTAGTACTATGATTTTTCTAGTACACAATATTTTTTTGTAAGGTTTTACTTGCTAGTCTTTGATTTGCATTTAAAGACCAATTGGATTGTGATTATTCTGTGCTTTTGCATGCTTTTTTAGTTATTATTTTAGTTAACTTACTGTTACTTGAAATTAAATACTAAAACTAAACTTGTGTTACTTGAAAAAAAAAAAAAACTACAACATGATCTCAATGAAACTAAACGAACACTGGTACATAGAGACGTAAAATAAAGCAGATTTACTTTTAAGAGTGCATTCTGGGGGACCCGCTGGTGTCGTCATGCTTTGCTTCTTCAGCGCGAAAAAAATCTTTTAGTAGCTGACCTTTGGACTCTGTTTATATCACTGGGTTTTGTACGAGAGGTTTTCCTCTTCAAATAATCTCTTATGTCTCTTATGTTTTAAAAAGCCTCCGATGTGACTGCGTTGGTGGATGTGTGGCGTACGAAAGGGCTACTACTTCTCTCCCGCTCTCGTAGTTTCCTAATGTACTTGTCTCAGACTGTGCCGTTTCAGAGAATGATGGAGAAAGTCTGTGGAAAGCTGACAGCTGCTGTATCTGAAAGCGTGTGAACGTGTCTCTGTGATAACGGGATCACTAACATCTTGACAGTTCTCTCGCCGCTTGTACGCCGCAGTTGTGGCAGCTGATGATGTTTAAGCTAATGACTAAAGTGACAGGTGAAGCCCGACGCCCCTCAGAGATGTTATTCTGCATCTCTGATTTAGGACCTGATTTATTTGTTTACACACAGACAGAGACACAATGTGAAGCCAGTATTCCCTGACGCTCCTGAGGAATTATTTCGAAGCGATTCTTTTTTAATAACACACATAATGTTCCTGCTACCTGGCACATGTCACTAAAATTGTTACCCTGAGAAATCGCACCTGATGTAGTCTTTGTGAAGAGCATAAACAGCCCATGGCCAGTCTGAAGCGCTTTATTTACATGCATTTAAATTTGCTGGGAATCGATTACCTGTAAAAAAAAAGGGCAGGTTTTGGATAGAGGATAGAGAGCATGTAGTTGAAGATATGTAATCACTTCCAGCACCTTTAAAGCAATGAAGTGAGCTTTTCTCTACTATCTGCATTCCTATTGGCTGTCGGTGCATTGCATTACAACTTATTTGTATATAGTTGAACTCTACTCAACTTGGTTGCATCAATGAGCACTTTCAGGGATGATTCAATAATGTTTTCAATAAAGTTTGGGTCACTGAAAGTTTTGTTTCAAACAATTAGTAATGAGATAACTTTAAGCTGTCTTCTCAGTTTTGGTCAAGTTCATATGTACTTGCCTCTGGATGTTATACCTTTAAAATCAGCAAAAGGTTGGTGATTTAGTAGGAAACTCTTCAGCCTCAACAGAAAGAGAATTAAGTGAGAGTGAGAGAATTAAAGATGATGGATGGATAGATAAATGGATAGATGAGCATAATGATTAATTAATTGTAATTAGTTCAATATTTTTATTTTGTATTAATTAGTATTTATTTATTTATTTTGTGTTAATTAATGCATTTATTTATATTTAGTTCAATATTTTTATTTATTTTCTTAATTTATTCATTTTATTTTGATTTAAATTATTTTTAATTAGGTAATCTTTTTGGTTCTATTTATATGTGAAATACATTTTTATTGCTTAATGCTTTGGCAACATTGCGCTACTCTACACAGTCAAGCCAGTAAAGCTCATCTGAATTAGTATCAAAATATATATATATTTTTTTCTAGAAATTGTAAAAATATAATGGTTATGCATTAAATAATCATGCAGTAATGTCTATTGTTAAATAGTGCAGTAAATGAAAGACTCTTCATGTAATTTGATTATTTTCTCTTTTTATTTGAAACTTCTAGGACTCAAACCAAAAGATCAGATCAGATTATTCATAACAAATGAATGAGTCTGGCATCAGTGCAAAACAGCTTCACATTACAAAGCACTTGAGTTAAAACAAAAGACTCTAAACAGTAAACGCTATTACAGTCAAATGACTCATTTGCACTGCAGAACAGGTAGATATATGTCATATATAAGTCAAAAACTTCATTAACAAGGCAAGTTGTGACCTTTTAACACATTATTCATCATCTTGACTTGTCTGGGACACATTCGGATCCTCGGTTTCACGTTTCTCATGTGTAAATAACATACAGCTGTCCTGCCTATGGCTATCCCTGCATATTTATCTACCGTAGTATAAACAGTGTAGCAAAATATCTACCGGTTGACACCAAGCCCTAGCAGATAGATAGATGGATGGATGGTACTATCTCTCAGTTCGTCAGTGTTACTGTGAGAATAACAGTCCATGTGCCATCACAGCCGTTCCCATAGCAACCGCATCCATGGACAGGTGCTTATGTTTTGGTTGGCGTTCAGAAGAAATTAAGACATTTCAGAAGAGCAGGGAGGGAGGGATGGAGAGAGAGAGAGAGAGACAAAAAAGGAGAGGAGAGGAGAGGCTGAAAATAGAGCAAATGAGCGCTTTATAGCGTTCTTCATCCAAGCAGCGGGATCCAGCTGCAGGTGCTGCAAGTTTGTGTGTGTGTGTGTGTGTGTGTGTGTGTGTGTCGTAATAACAGCACAGGACTGTCAGATGTCTCACTCATCACGACTGTCTTTCTTTCTTTGTAGAGTACGGAGCAGGTCGCAGCTTTCTGCCGCAGTCTGCACGAGATGAATCCCTCATCTGAGGTCGTCTCTTCCTCGTCCGGCCCGGAGTCTTCCTCACTTCCTCCGAGCAATGCCACTCCACGCCAGCTCTCCGATGCTGACAAACTCCGCAAAGTCATCTGCGAACTGGTGGAGACGGAGCGCACCTACGTCAAAGTCAGTACCTGTGTGTGTGTGTGTGTATGTGTGTGTGTGTGTGTGTGTGATCAGACATACTCGCCTGTGTGTTTGACTTACATAAGTTTGTGCCCTTCATCGAGTCGAGGCCTGGAGGGAAAGAAATTGTGCCCTTGGCTTGCCTTTTTCTGCACCCACTCACTCTTTGACTGCATTTGAAATGGAATACTAGCATACAGCATAGTACATACAGCCTTAAAAATAGCATTTGAAACAGAATGCAATGATTTAAACAGCAGTTTGTCACATGACCTCACAGTATTCTATGCAGTGTGCTTTATTGTATACTTAAAGGGATAGTTCAACCAAAAAAGACAATTCTGTAATTGCATTTTTTATTCTTCTTTGGAACACAAAAGAAGATATTAGCCCGTGGTGTGCACTGGGGGGCTCGAGTCACTGCCCCTTTAATTGCCGACGCTAAAATGCCCTTTCTGTCTGATCTAGGCACCCCCGGACCGAGATTTCAACCGAGGGGGACAACCAAACAACCCCCCCCCCCTCCAAAAAAACGAGGGGGAAGGACTGTGTTTGTGCCCTCTTAAGGCCACTAATATTAGCCATGTACACACTTCAGCTAAATTCGGTTGTCAGTTCACCTTTTTAGTGCTTAATCCGGTCTTGTACACACACAGTTCAGTCATTTACGGGAGTGACAAATGTATTCTACAGCTGAATTATCTCATGAAAAATGCAGGTAGTTACAACCGTATTTACAGAAATTGTGCGCAGACTTATTTAAACATGTATCAGAGTGTCTTTTTATGTGCAGTGCAAGAAATCACTGGGCATGTTCTGAATCATTGGTGTTGCCAGATCCTGCTAGATTCTCTCTGTATAGCTCATGTTTGCTCGCTGTGTTGAGATTAACGACAGAGCCGTGACTGTATTTCCTCGTCTCTCTGAGGACGGCTGGGATTACAGTAACACCTTCACCGATATCCTGCCCATCGCTGGGAATATTTGCGGTGTGTTCAGATTCATCTGCCTGTTTGAGCAAAGAACTAAATCAACAGTCTGAATGAAGCACTCCAGCAGAAATGAAACATGACATGAGTGTGTGATGAGGCTGAGCAATATAGCTGGAGAAATTATGTGTTTATGTATATATATATATATATATATATATATCGACCAAGTAGATTTTAAATATTTACTTCATGGAAATACAGTAAAAATGTTGAAAATAAATAGTTCAATATAATTTCAGTTTTAACAATGATGCCTTATATTTAATAATTTTTGTATAGATCAGTATACAATGCTGATCTAACAATGCATCTCCTAAACATCAGCTTGTACTACATGTATTTTTTACAGTGGCGTAGCGGTTAAACATGTATCAGAGTGTCTTTTTATGTGCAGTGCAAGAAATCACTGGGCATGTTCTGAATCATTGGTGTTGCCAGATCCTGCTAGATTCTCTCTGTATAGCTCATGTTTGCTCGCTGTGTTGAGATTAACGACAGAGCCGTGACTGTATTTCCTCGTCTCTCTGAGGACGGCTGGGATTACAGTAACACCTTCACCGATATCCTGCCCATCGCTGGGAATATTTGCGGTGTGTTCAGATTCATCTGCCTGTTTGAGCAAAGAACTAAATCAACAGTCTGAATGAAGCACTCCAGCAGAAATGAAACATGACATGAGTGTGTGATGAGGCTGAGCAATATAGCTGGAGAAATTATGTGTTTATGTATATATATATATATATATATATATATCGACCAAGTAGATTTTAAATATTTACTTCATGGAAATACAGTAAAAATGTTGAAAATAAATAGTTCAATATAATTTCAGTTTTAACAATGATGCCTTATATTTAATAATTTTTGTATAGATCAGTATACAATGCTGATCTAACAATGCATCTCCTAAACATCAGCTTGTACTACATGTACAGGCACGCAGTTTTGGGTTGGGGGGCCACGCGATTACCTCCCCGTGCTGGGTTGCGTTGTATCATGTGTCGACTATAGCCAGAGATATTGTCAAAAGCATCAAATATTGTCAATATTAATAGGATTTGGCATTTCCAATGAATGTAGGCATGTTACATTCTTCTTATTATTATTAGGTTACTTTTATTATTAAATTGCAATTAATTTGCCCCACAATAATTTCATAGCGCATCACCGCATAACTGACGCGCTGTGAGGATAATAAAAGATTAGGCTATTAGCTTACTCCTCATTGAAAATGTTTTTAAAAAGGTGTTTTAAAACAGGTCTATTAATTTATACAATGAATTATAGGCCTGTAATTAAAATTATTTACACTGCAGTCATCAATGAAAATTAAGAGCAGCTTTATTTCAAGCACCGACTTTCAAAAACAACCTGTTTTATGCAAAATACATTTCTCTTTTTTTCCCCACTATGTACGGGCCACAAGAGAAATATTAAGGAATAATTCAAGACAGTTAGTCTATATGCCGTTATCAGCATATGCTGAAATTGATTTGTCTCTTGTCGTCCCTGAGAGAATATGCGCCGATAATGCAGTGTCAGATGCCGAAAGCGCCGTCAGTTTGTACGTTTTTTACTTTGACTTTGTATAATTGACTAAAATTAAAACGCATAACTCTTGCGCAAAGTTTGCACGTTGTTTAATATCAGCCTTCATGGTTTAAAATGGAAATATTTCCAATATTGCGACGTAACAAACCCCCTGCGATTTTGCGCTAAGCCACTGATTTTTTTACCAAAACACTTAAAATGATACTTCATGATCTCTGTGAACACTTTTGAGTGACTCAAATGATTCATTGAATCAGTATTGTGAATCAGTCAGGTTTATAATAGTTAACTAAAACTAAAACCATAAAAAAAATGTTACTTGAAATGAAAACTGAAATAAAATGAAATAAACTTAAAAATGAATAAAAAAAACTATATAGACATAAAAAAAAAACTGATAAAAATGACAAACACAACAAAATTACTAAAACTTTAAAAATGTTAATAAAAACTGAAAATATGAAAATAAAAAGCGAATTCAAATTATTAATAAAAACTATAATAGGATCTCTGATGTTAAAATAATCTGGAACTAATTCTTTTAAATGGAAAGGTTATTAAACAGCCATGACATTAATCAAATATAATGTCAAATATTAATATTGTGAATGTTGCTCATAGGCTGTTCTTCAATATTATTGTGTGTTCTCTCTCTCTTTCAGGATCTGAACTGTTTGATCGGGCGATATTTAACCCCGCTGCAGAAGGAGTCTTTCCTCACTCAGGATGAGGTGAGTTGAAGCGCTGCTGATGGTTTCATGTTATTATCAGCTGGCGAGCTCAAAAACACCTCCAGAACACAGAGTGATATTTCATAATCATCCTGATGGAGGAGCGTGTAGGAGGACACCGAGACAGAGACAAACACACACACAAGAAAAGAGAGGTAGAGAGGAGAGTGGGAGGGAGACACAAAATGAGGAAAACTTACATCAGACAGACGAGAGGAAGTTCTCAATCTTCTGCTCCTTTAATGCCCTACATATGGGAGCTGAGCTCATTATGCAGCAGTGCAGACACTAAAGAGATGTACTTCCACCAATATGGAGTCTTTTAAAGGTTGAGACAGATAACTAGAGAGCAGTATATAATGTCTATATGCATTTTTACAAAAATACTTATTTTATGTAATTTATATACTGTTTTGGGGACACGTTAAAGTGAATATTTACAGTTTTTACTCATATTTGTTATTGAAGTAATATTAAATACATATATATATATATATATATATTAGTTATATCTATTGTTACTTTGTATATATGGAGATTTTTAGATATTATGTATATTTTTTATATTTTATATTATTTGTGTGTGTGTGTGTATGTGATATGGAAGCCCGTTTCCGCCACTGAATAAAAAAATAAAAAAGATAATTGCGACTTTTTATCTCTAATTTTGAGAACATATCAGTCTTTTCCCCCCCTCAAAATTGGACTTTATAACTCGCTATTGTGAGTTTATGTCCCACAATTCTGAGGAAAAAAAGTCAGAACTGAAGTGAAGTGACATGTGGCCAAGTATGGTGACCCATACTAGGAATTAGTGCTCTGCATTTATCCCATCCAAAGTGCACACACACACAGCAGTGCACACACACACACCGTGAACACACACCCGGAGCAGTGGGCAGCCATTTTTTGCTGCGGCACCCGGGGAGCAGTTGGGGGTTCGGTGCCTTGCTCAAGGGCACCTCAGTCATGGTATTGAAGGTGGGAGAGAGCGCTGTACATTCACTCCCCCACCTACAATCCCTGCCGGTACGAGACTCAAACCCGCAACCTTTGGGTTACGAGTCCGACTCTCTAACCATTAGGCCATGACTTCCCCGAACTGCGAGATATAAACTCACAATTCTGACTTTTTTTTTCTCAGAACTGTGTTTAAATCTCGAAATTGTGACTTTTTTTCTCAGAATTGCGAGAAAGTTCTTACTTTATTTCTCAGAATTGCAAGTTTATATCTCACAATTCTGAGAACAAAAAAAAATCAGAATTGCAATTAGCTTTTTAATTTTTTTATTCAGTGGCGGAAATGGGCTTCCGTAGTATAAGCTTTATTACGTAGCACATCTATTTAAAATTCAAATTAAATGATGTTTATATATAAGATAATTATTTGTTTAAATTTTTACATTTGACCACATTCATTTTTCCTGCATGTGTATCTGATAGCTGGACGTGCTGTTCGGAAACCTCCCGGAGATGCTGGAGTTTCAGGTGGAGTTTCTGAAGACTCTGGAAGACGGAACCCGGCTGGTGCCGGACCTGGAGAAACTGGAGCGAGTGGAAGAGTTCAAGGTTTGTCCCTCTGATCTCATTTGCATCACATTAAACATAGTAACACTCAAAGTGTCTGGTCTACTCATTTAAATAACAAATATTTAAAGTTTTTGGGGCATACCATGTTTTTTTTTACGGTTGTAGTGCATCACTCAGAGGCAAGATTTATCCAACACAAACCATAATACCTGATGTATTTCTCTCAAAATCCCTCTCGTCTTACAGAAAATCCTCTTTTCTCTGGGCGGCTCGTTCCTGTATTACGCCGACCGCTTCAAGATCTACAGCGCTTTCTGTGCCAGCCACACCAAAGTGCCCAAAGTGCTTGTCAAAGGTATGTAAATCTCCACTCAAAGGCGACCTTGCTCCCAGAGTCCTGCACCTTGGGGGTCTGTAAATCCCATGTGAGCGATTTTTATTATTTAATGTCGATTCTGCAGAATTGTTATAGGATAGGTTACATAACAGTGTTTTCCAGTAAGTTGAAGAACTTAACGTACTTGAAAACATTTTACGCTGTATTGTTAAAAGCACAACAAATGCTAGCCGTCTTCATATCTTTCTATCACTATCAGTCCTGTGACAGCATAATCACATCTTCCTGTGTTTGCGTCCTCTCCAGCAAAAACAGACGCAGCCTTCAAGGCATTTCTGGACGAGCGTAACCCCAAACAGCAGCATTCATCCACGCTGGAGTCGTACCTGATCAAACCCATCCAGAGAGTGCTGAAGTACCCTCTGCTCCTGAGAGAACTGCACTCGCTCACAGACCCCGACAGCGAGGAGCACTACCATCTGAACGGTGAGAGACTCCAGTTCATATGAGCATGCCTTGAAAGAAGACTCTTCTCACTAAGGCTGCATTTATTTGATTAAAAATACAGTAAAAACAGCAATATTGTGAAATATTATTACAATTTCAAATAATTGTTTTCTATTGTAATATATTAAAAAAAAAAATGTTATTGCTTTGATCAAAGCTGAATTTTCAGCAGCATTACTCCAGTCTTCAGTGTCACATGATCCTTCAGAAATCATTCTAATATGCTGATTTGCTGCTCGAGAAACATTTCTGCTTATTATCACTGTTGAAAACAGTTGTGCTGCTTCACATTTTTGTGGAAACCGTGATAAATGTATTTTTTCAGGATTCGTTGAGGAATAGAAATATCAAAAGAACAGCATTTATTTGAAATAGAAATCTTTTGTAACATTATAAATGTCTTTACTGTCGTCAATTTAATATGTCTTTGCTGAATGTATTAATTTGAAGTATTCATTTCTTTTTAAAAAGTAGTGTATTGTCCAAATAAGATGTTATAACTGGAGATCAGTTTTAAAGCCATCAATCTGAACTTTTATGTTTCAACCAACTTTCTGAATTCACTGCTATATAATTGACACATATATAGAATTGATATATCATTTATTTTCTCTGCTGTTGTGCAGTTGCAATGAAAGCCATGAACACAGTGGCCAGTCACATCAACGAGATGCAGAAGATCCACGAGGAGTTTGGAGCCGTCTTTGACCTCCTCATCTCTGAACAGACTGGAGACAAGAAAGAGGTTTGTGAACTTTACATCAGCTCGTTCCAGTCAACTAATTTCACTGGACAAGCAATGTTTTACTGTTTGCATCAATCCTAATTAAGTATTTAATTAACTAATATTAACTATGCTCTTTTTGTTTATGTGTTTAAATATTCTTGTTTCTAAAATGTGAGTTGCTCAGTATTAACTTTTTGTTTATGCAACTACTATATAAAACAAAATAGTATTGTATCGTTCACATGGTGTCAGGTCACTCTTGGCTGCATGCGAGTGCAGCTTGTGATAATACAGAACTTGGGTCTCAGATTTTCAACCACATTTCATGCTCTGCAGCTGATAAAAACTTAAAACTGTCAGATCAGATTTCCTTCTTTATTCCTGTATTTACTGCCATCTGCCTGCATATTTAAATCTTATTAGCCTATTATGTGAATACAGTGAAACTTTGTTGCATAATGTGGCTGTAGCTCGGAATGATGTCAGGCAGAGACAGACGAGATCCCTTCTGGATTGCAGATTGCGAGTTCTGTGTGTGTGTGTGTGTGTGTTGTGCGAGCTCTAACGGTGGCTTCTGCTATGATTACAGGTTGCTGACTTGTCTATGGGAGATTTACTCCTCCACACCAGCGTGACATGGATTAACCCGTCCTCCTCACTGGGAAAATGCAAGAAAGAGCCACAGCTGGCCACATTTGGTACGTTCTGTTCCCATATACATTACTCCAGTCTTCAGTGTCACATGATCCTTCAGAAATCATTCTAATATGCTGATTTGCTGCTCGAGAAACATTTCTGCTTATTATCACTGTTGAAAACAGTTGTGCTGCTTCACATTTTTGTGGAAACCGTGATAAATGTATTTTTTCAGGATTCGTTGAGGAATAGAAATATCAAAAGAACAGCATTTATTTGAAATAGAAATATTTTGTAACATTATAAATGTCTTTACTGTCGTCAATTTAATGTGTCTTTGCTGAATGTATTAATTTGAAGTATTCATTTCTTTTTAAAAAGTAGTGTATTGTCCAAATAAGATGTTATAACTGGAGATCAGTTTTAAAGCCATCAATCTGAACTTTTATGTTTCAACCAACTTTCTGAATTCACTGCTATATAATTGACACATATATAGAATTGATATATCATTTATTTTCTCTGCTGTTGTGCAGTTGCAATGAAAGCCATGAACACAGTGGCCAGTCACATCAACGAGATGCAGAAGATCCACGAGGAGTTTGGAGCCGTCTTTGACCTCCTCATCTCTGAACAGACTGGAGACAAGAAAGAGGTTTGTGAACTTTACATCAGCTCGTTCCAGTCAACTAATTTCACTGGACAAGCAATGTTTTACTGTTTGCATCAATCCTAATTAAGTATTTAATTAACTAATATTAACTATGCTCTTTTTGTTTATGTGTTTAAATATTCTTGTTTCTAAAATGTGAGTTGCTCAGTATTAACTTTTTGTTTATGCAACTACTATATAAAACAAAATAGTATTGTATCGTTCACATGGTGTCAGGTCACTCTTGGCTGCATGCGAGTGCAGCTTGTGATAATACAGAACTTGGGTCTCAGATTTTCAACCACATTTCATGCTCTGCAGCTGATAAAAACTTAAAACTGTCAGATCAGATTTCCTTCTTTATTCCTGTATTTACTGCCATCTGCCTGCATATTTAAATCTTATTAGCCTATTATGTGAATACAGTGAAACTTTGTTGCATAATGTGGCTGTAGCTCGGAATGATGTCAGGCAGAGACAGACGAGATCCCTTCTGGATTGCAGATTGCGAGTTCTGTGTGTGTGTGTGTGTGTGTTGTGCGAGCTCTAACGGTGGCTTCTGCTATGATTACAGGTTGCTGACTTGTCTATGGGAGATTTACTCCTCCACACCAGCGTGACATGGATTAACCCGTCCTCCTCACTGGGAAAATGCAAGAAAGAGCCACAGCTGGCCACATTTGGTACGTTCTGTTCCCATATAACCTCAACTCATGGATAGATAAATAGATAGACGGATAGATAGAAGGGATGGGCGATATGGGCTTAAAAATGTATCACGATAATTTATGATATTTATTGCGATAACGAGATCAATGACGATAATTTAGGGAATCCTGTTTCTTTAGAGAAAAGTATTATCTTTCCTATTTTTACCCAAAATAGGGTGTTGTGAGCAGTACACACGTAATGTAATGACTGTTAAAAAAAAATCCGGAGGGCGCCCTTGCTCAGAAACTCCACATATGCATAGTAGAAGTAATGCTCCAGGAAATCCCTGATATGGACAGAGGTATCCAGTGATCGCTGTAGCTGAATAAAACGCAGATAGAGAAATTTTAACTGAGGAAACCTGAAGACAATAAACATGCGATTGCACAAAATATATGGTATCTGTGTTCTTCAACCAATCTTGGGTATTTTTATAAGGATAAAGTATATTTATAATGCAATGCTAATCGA